ATCGTCCATCGCCAATGGCTGACAGCCATCACGATGTTAAGCTGAAAGATGTGAACTTTTATTTACTGTAATGCAACAGGCTACCGCTAGCAAGTGGCTAATCTTTTAGTGGCTCCTTAGAACGCTTTATTTGTTTCACGCTTCGAGCACACCCCTAACCCCGCCCCTCCCCCCACCCCCCGATGTCATCATCCATCACAATGTTTCACTGCAGACATCGTCCAATGCCAATTTGGTAGACATCGTCCAACCCTAATCTGCTAGCATAACTGACAGTAGCTGGGTTTCCATCCAAAGTTGTGAATTTAATTTATTCGTAAAATTGGAATATCGTATAAAACATTTGCGAATAAGCACCGTTTGCATCCAACAAGTCAAAGAGAACAAAATCGTCACTTCCTCATAAACTGGCACTAAATATAACTAAGAAAAGTAGAAGAAGCCACTGAACATAATAATTTTCATATATAATAAATCATTTTGCTCAGGCATTTCAGAGTGACCATAACATTTCAGATGCTGTGGAACAAGATCGGTCCGATGGTTAGTCAGGTTTTTGCTGTCCCATAGCGCAAAGTCACATTACTTTTTTGATGCGCATTGGGGAATTTATTCAGCAAATGCGTTTCCTTCTCCCATTATTCGCACAAGTCAAAAACCACCACAAGCGAGCGTAAAAGCTTTTGCGAATTAAGGAATTTTTATTTGAAATTTGGCATTTCCGTCACTCATTTCTAAAGTGATAATTCAAAATGTGCATAAAAACAGGGTGATGGAAACATAGCTACGGACAAAAAGTAATGTAAAAGTAACATGTACTTTTCATAGAACACAATCTGTAATGCTTTACAAATAAAGTTTAGTTTGTTAACATTAATGCAAACAAACTTTTACAGCGATTTTGTCAATCTAGGTTAATGTTGATATATAAACATACCATTGTTTATTGTTAAATTTGTTAATATATATCAAATAATTTAATCAGTTTGAAATGTAAAAAAATATATTAGTATTACTATACTATCGTTCAAATGTTTGGGGTCAGTAAGATATTTTTATTTAGTAAATTAATACTTTTGTTCTACAAGGTGCATTAAATAGATCAAAAGTGACAGTAAAGACATTAATAATGTTACAAAATATTTCCATAAAAAAAAAAGCCACTCTTTTGAACAAAAAAAACAATCACAATTTCCACAAAAACATTAAGCAGTACACCTGTTTTCAACATTTATAATAATAAGAAATAAGCAAATCAATTACAAAAATACCAAATCATCATATTAGAATGATTTCTGAAGGATCATGTGACACTGAAGACTAGAGTAATTATGCTGAAAATATTCAGCTTCACAGGAATAAATTAGGTACATTTTTAAATATATTACAATAGAAAATAGTACGTAGGCTAGTAATTAAACATCATAAATGCTGTAAAAGTATTGATCATTCTTAGTTTATTACACCTAACACTTTAACATTAACAATTTTAAATCATAACCTATTAAATCTATTTTTAAGAGCAATGTTTCCCACTGATCAGGTTTTAGGTTGAACACTTAATAAACAGGAATCACTAATTAGGCTATATGCTGATGGCCTCTCAGTTTATCACCTCACACAATCTTTCCTTTTCTCGATACCTGGCCAAAGCCTTGTAGTTCAAGCGACCTTGTCTTAGAACGGTCACCCACAGACCTTTCTCTCTCCACATGCCTTCCCAAAATAAAAGCAGGTCACTTTTTAAAGAGGCAAACAACTCAGCAAGACGAAGAACATAGAGTGACATTTCTGACAGCCCGTGATGTCAGGTTTCAGCAAAAAGACGACCGGTTGCGTGCTTGGTAATCCAATGCCTTGTTGAGAATCTAACTTTACTCTCAGTCTTTGCGAGGTAAAAAAGGCACCTGGACCATTTGTTAATTTGAAGTTACCTTAGCAAACATAGGCCTGGCCGATAAAACGGTATCGATATTTATCGACGGTACACCTTCTTCGATAACGATAGAAAAATTGTTTGATATAGCACACAATATAGGCATGTGCTATGAGTGACGCAGACAGCACACACAAACACGAACACATGCTGAAATGAGTGCTGCGCCTGCCTGTGATGAGGAGATTGTGAATAAAAAATGAATATTAGTCGAATTTAAAATAACCATTTGCATTTGAATGATAGGTGTGCGTCAGGGAGAGTCATCAGTGGCGCACGAGATGCAGTGATGATGATGTAAGTGACGTTGTTGCATTTTAATGTTTTGTTAGTGTAGCCCATGAGACGCGCCGCTTCTGCGTTATTCATTCAAAATATTAGAGAAATATAGAAGCTCAATGCGGAGACGATCTTGAATGGGTTAAAACCGAAACCAAGCCATTCACACAGAACGCATATTTAGCGCATTTTCTAGACGGACAAATACAACTGTTGCACTCGCATCTCACAAAAGAGATGTATAGAAAGCCATGCAAAGTTAAAACAGTTTAAACTTTTAGAAAACACATCAAATTTGTGGAGGTTTATTACGTTTCACTGCGTCTCATATGTTTTTAAATGCAAGTCTGTGTGAATGGCGCTTCGGCTCTTTGGATTAAGCAATGCATAAACAATTATGAACAAAACAGCATCATGTATTTATGCAATTTACGAAATTATATTTGATTTTTATGAGTTAATTTAGACGTAATGCACATTTTTATAGAGTTACTTCCTTGCGTTGACAATTTAAATGCGCTGCATTATTTTGCTCATTGCGCCCTCCTGTGGCCTCGGGAGACAATTATACCTATACAATAAAGAACAATTTAATCTGCATTTAAAACTTTAGAAATTAGGTATTTGTTTAATTTTTATTTTGTTTGATTGTTAAAACAAAAAATATTTGTTGTTTGTCTCAATAAATTGTTAAAAACATTTTTTCTATTGCTCAGTTTAAAATTTTTTTTTTAAATGTCAATAATTATCAATAACGAACAATATGAAACATTATATCGTTGATACATATTTTAGCTATATCGCCCAGCCCTAAGTAAACAATAACATTTCTGCTGTTTATGAAGACATGCTCAATAAAATCGTTCCATTTTGTTAGGCCAAACTCTATTTACAAGAACAGCATAGATTAAAATACAATGATAAACAATGAACAAACTGTCACAATACTTTAAGATTTGAAAAACAAAAGTCAAACCTAATTTTACCTCTGTATAAAAATAAAATCCTACTAAATATGCTTAATAGACAATGATGTCTTGCAAAAATCCCTAGCAGGAAGACAAATCAACAGAAATTGCATCTATAGATAAACTCCAATCTACACTGAAAAATAAAATACAAATATATTAATTATTAATTAATTGTTAAAATCTTACAATAACGTTTTATTTGTTAACATTAGTTAACTACATTAGTTAACCTGAACTAACAATACAGCATTTATTAATCTTTACTAATGTTAACATTTGCTAATACATTTTTAAGATCAGAAGTTGCATGTGTTAACATTAGTTAATGCAGTGTGAACTAACATTAACTTTTTATTAACTAACATTAACAAAGGTTAATAAATGCTGTAAAAATACATTACTCATTGTTAGTTTGTTGGGTAATGCATTAATGTTAACAAATGAAATCCTTCTAAAGTATTACCTATTAATTTATTATTTACCTTAGCAACATGCTAATTGGGAGTTTAGTTGTTGCCTATGTAGAGCATTCAAAATCAGTCACTAATGTGTTATCTTTAACTGAAATTAAAAATTAGCTAATTGAAATAAAGCTAAAATAACATTTTAAAAATAGAGGAAAAATTTAAACAAACAAACATATATAAAAGAAACTAACTAAAATGTACTAATAATTACTAACTAAATTACTAACAAAATCCCAAAGTTACTCAAATGTAAAAAAAAAAAAGTACATTAGTTAACTACATTAGTTAACCTGAACTAACAATACAGCATTTATTAATCTTTACTAATGTTAACATTTGCTAATACATTTTTAAGATCAGAAGTTGCATGTGTTAACATTAGTTAATGCAGTGTGAACTAACATTAACTTTTTATTAACTAACATTAACAAAGGTTAATAAATGCTGTAAAAATACATTACTCATTGTTAGTTTGTTGGGTAATGCATTAATGTTAACAAATGAAATCCTTCTAAAGTATTACCTATTAATTTATTATTTACCTTAGCAACATGCTAATTGGGAGTTTAGTTGTTGCCTATGTAGAGCATTCAAAATCAGTCACTAATGTGTTATCTTTAACTGAAATTAAAAATTAGCTAATTGAAATAAAGCTAAAATAACATTTTAAAAATAGAGGAAAAATTTAAACAAACAAACATATATAAAAGAAACTAACTAAAATGTACTAATAATTACTAACTAAATTACTAACAAAATCCCAAAGTTACTCAAATGTAAAAAAAAAAAAGTAAAAAAATTAATAAATTCTACTACAGATTACAAACAATACTAAAATAACACTGTATGAGATACATGACATCAAAATCTGCCATTTTTGCTGCTCATAATAGTCAAGCATGAATTCTTGACAATACATTGGGGAAAAAACTTGGACAAAAATCAATACTGTACATCACGACGCAAGGACTGTGAGTCATCCTGCAGCGGTTTAATTTATTTATCCTATAAAAGCAGCAGTGAGTGTGTGACTCACCGTATGGTTTGGTGTGTGTGTGGATAAGATCTTACCCAGCAGCGGTACTTTGTTCTGCAGGAGTTCATAGTAGCCGGAGGTCAGGATGCCCACGGGGCTGCTGGGAGTGAAACGGCCCTCCTTCACGAGTCGTTCACACGTCTTCATCAAGGTGGCAGAGAACTGCGACGGGTCCACGCCGTAATCCCTCCAGCCCCCGACGCCATCCGCAACACCTGAGAGGAAAACAGACCGGGAAAGATATTGTCATTAAGAGTGAAACCAGTTAGTTGGATGCGTGTTAATTTCCTCAACCCTAATAGCTTTAACACCTAACTTCTGACAATCGGATGAAAAGGAAGGAAGAGATGGCGATTTCTGACGCCGCAGAGACAGATGGCAGCTGCCACAAACCTCCTTCCTGACCTCCTGACTGACTGCGCATTGTGATGGTAATCCAAAACGGCCATCTGCTATAGCACGTCTGATGCCTTCGTTCAACAAAGAGGATGTTAGATGGATATCTTGTGAACCCCTTGAACTCCAAGTAGCTAGTAACTACTGGTTATTCTTTACAAAATCTAACGAGGAAACTCAAGCACTCCTAGCTTTGAAAACGTACTTACAGTCTGTGAGTCAGCATTATTTGTCAGAACAAGCCGGCATTGTAGTCTACTCTACCAGGATCAGGATACAGTCCTCGTCCTCTGTAAAATGCGCTGTACACATCTGAATATTTGGTTTGAACTGTTCTGGAACAGTGTTGTAAATACAACTTAACTTCACTGATTTCTAGTTGTGTCCTCTTTTGGAAGGCCAAACAAAGTAGTTTTACTTTCACAACGAAACCCACAGCATCTCCACAGCATCTCCACAACATGGCGGCGGCGGCAGCAACAATACTACAGCGAGAATCAAAGTTACGCCTTCTTTCTTTGCGTGAACATTTGGGCGGTGCTATGCAAATCTTCCCACACAGTGACGTAGACATGTGGGGGCGTGTTTAAACGAGGAGTTTTAGGAGGGCATGGACGAGTCTTAACTTTTATAAAGAATATCTCTTTGGATTTGAGACTTTAGTCTTTGCAACTTTACAGATCTTATCTATTCACAAACAGCTTTTAACACTCCAAAGAGAAAGGAAAACTTGAAATCGCATCATATGACCCCTTTAATTAAAAGAGCGCAAACTTGCAGTGGATTTCATATTTTTATATTTTAGATGTACATGTTGAAATATGATTTTAAAATAGAGAATTATTCCATGTTGAAAGCAGCTTACTAAGGCTGCAATATAATACAGCATTAAATACTATGACGCTGTGTTTTGACATGATACACTGCTCCTTTCCTTATTACTGGTAAAGTTTCATTATTTTGAAAACAAGCAAGCTACTGTCACAATGCTAGAGAATGTTGTTAGTAGCATCTCTACTTTTAGTTAGTCCCTTCCTAACACCAATACGGTGACATCTCACTCTGACTAAACAGTGTAACCACACACACACACACATCAAGAATTCAGAGATTGCATGGGCTCAAAGGGAGATCCAGGCTCAAAAGGAATGAGGGGCGACTTATCAGATTTAAACAATTTAGAGAAGCACAAATCAAGCTACCATTAACATTTCAATGGAGCTTTGCAAACAAGACCAACTGTTCATCACAAGGCTGCAAACATGGTGGTGTTAGAGTAGGAAAAAATACTTCGGAATGGGAGTATGGGACAATATAACTTGGCGGATACTGTATCATAACACTTCCCAGGAAGAAACGTTTATTATAACACCACATAGACGACCAACATCCAGGCCAAATCGTGAGGTCAGATAAGCGATTCGGAAGATAATTCTTCCATGACTTAAATCTTTATTCCACAACATTTGTATTTAGTTTCATAAATATTAACCTGAGACGACCATATTTACCATAGCAAAAGAGCTAAAGAAAACTGCTTTCAGAGGAAACATCCATCTGTTTTCACCAGCACACACTTGAAGGCAGATTCCAGCGCTGCCATACAACAAGTCCACTTTATGCATCAAGGCGCAACTTCCTTGTGACAAAGTCACCCAGAGAGCATATGTGCAGCATCTGTATTCAACAGGCTGTGTTAAATGACAGATGTGTTGGCTTTTAATAAAGTTGTTCATGGCGTGTCGTCATGTGACTCCCTAAAAACAATGAAATTTATAAATGTGATATGTATTTTTTATTTATATAAAAGTATAATATACAAATATTAAAAAATATTAAGATGTGCACACTTGCATGAAGCACATGAAGCAAGGTGAAGGAAAATACAATATTGTATTTTACATTTTTACAGTCATTCAATTGAAACTTTTCTTGAAAATGGCATAGTAATTTGCAAGACTAAATTAAACAATTGTGAATGGAAAGAGAATATTTCAAAGAACTTGATGCATTTAAATTACATTTTTATGTTTTTCCATGTTCTTTATTGTAAAAATGTCTTTAACCCATTGTATTTATTAACTGAATTAAAATAGTTATCACTGCCATTTTTAATATATTTAATACCTCAACATATTATAAACATGCACTGCACGATTTGGGAAAAAAAATCTAAGTGAGATTTTTCTGATCAAAACTTTGATACTTTAAAATGCAAATTTAAAACATCCAGGTTTGCTGTGCTTTTTTGTAGAGCTGTATAATTTGGGGAAAATGTTGTGATTTTATACATTCAAAACAATTTATTATTATTATTATTATTTTTGATGAAAAACTGGTGGATAATGAGCTGCTCGGGTGTAAACACAGCGTCACACTTCACTTTACTCTGAAACATGCAGCGCATATATTTATTTAAATCGCAGCCTTCACAATTTGATAATCATACTGATGAGTCGTGTAGTGATTACAGGTTTATTTTGATTAATTAAGCAGCCCCAACTTGATCAATTCATGATATATACTTTGAGATATAACATGTTACCATATAGAAAGACTTTGGACCTATCAGAACATGATTGAAATACATTATTTCCAGTTGGCCACTATAAATAATAAACCTGAAACCTCCAAGCAAGCAGTTATTTCGTCTTAGAAGATCATTTTTTTTACTGCAGTTAAATGGAACATCAAATGTCTGCAAAAATTGATAAAAAGCTAGTCGTGATTGGTGCCAATGTTTGGCAGTAATCGCTGCTGGATTAAAGTCAGTGTCTGTCTGTGAACGAGCACTTCTCTGAGATCTCGTGGAAAAGAGTTTCACTGAACACCTCGCATTCAACTGATAATGTTATTTCAAAGGTTCACACTAACAAGGGCACCATATAAACCCTTGAGCTGTTTCTTCCTGTTTTTAAGACCAGCTCATTAGGCTAATTGGAGTGGAAAGTGAAGATCATCTACTGACCTTTAAAGGGGTCATATGATGCGATTTCAAGTTTTCCTTTCTCTTTGGAGTGTTACAAGCTGATTGTGTAATAAACAATGTAACATGACCTTCTTCACATTTCATATAGAATGAATAGACATGATTAGTCTTAAGCTCAGTCTCATGCTGTGATGTGTTTAATGAATAGCCTTGGAGCATCAAAATTCAATGCAGTGCTGTTTTAAGATTGCACGAAGCCTTGCATTTTCTTGATCCTGTTGAAAGATTCAATTAAAACCACTATCAATTTAATAATTAATAAAAGGATTCATTACTCATGTTTAACAAGAGCTACTCACCATTTTTGTGTTCCGCTCTTTAAGTTCATTGACTTGATGAACAAGGTTTTCATTGATCTCCTTTATTTTCTTAACTTTGTGATGGGCACGATTTTTCACAGACACAATGATACCTATAAGAGAGCAAACGAGTAAGAAAGGCAAATAAAAGTATTAGAGTAGAGATTAGAAAATAATGCAACAGCCGGGTTCCAGAAGTAAAACTTACATTAATTTTGTCCATAGAGATATCGATTTTTAGTGATAATAAACATAATTAATTACTTAAGTAAAATGGACCAAGTACTGAACCTTGGTGAACCCCCAGGTTTAGATTGTGAGCATCGTGAAACAATCATTACTAACACCAGCAGTTTGGTAGGTTAAACATACCAGAACATTTTTCATGATTTTCAATTGTTACAAAGTTTTATTTAATAAATATCATCAATAAATAGTTTTATATTTTACTGAAGTTTTTGACTTGATTACACATTTGCAATGTTTCTTAGTAAGAAAAATTCATTCCCTCACGAAATAATTTATGTATACAGTGCTTTCATATTTTTTCTGATCCAAATTGAGGTTCTAATTGTAGTTGCTGGGTCAAAATAATTCCCGTACCATTTATGATCCTGGCCACTCTCCACAACCTGAGCAAGATCAGAAGCCCCATGGCATCAAATGCATCTTCCTTTGAGATATATACAATATCCAGGATGAAGGATACCACCACCACAATCCCATCAAACACCTCAAATTTATGGTGGAGGAATTCTAGACGATACGCATAGATTTTTCCAGACAGTTCCACCATGAAGAATGTGAGAAGGGCGAGGCTGAGATAGTGGAATACCTGGAATAATGGCAGGAACATTCGGATAGAGGATAACCACAGAATAATCGCTGACATATAATGTGTCATGTGTCAACAGAAATATGACATCCATATTTCTTTGCTGACTAGGCATCTGAAGCAGACTCACCTGCGGAGCGATTCTGTGATGATCTGCTTGAATGATAGACAAGTCAATAAGCAACTCACACAGAACGAAAATGGCATCCAAGACGACCAAGCAAACAACAACAATCTAATCAACAAAATAAGTTCACGGTTATTTTCAATCATGTAGACAGTATTTTATATCTATATACATATACAAATAAAGCGTGCAAACGTTTACCTGGAACCTCTCTGTACTGTAGAGGCGGCGTAGGGAGTCCCTGAAGCTGACCTGTCCCAGGTGCTGTCCTGTGGCCAGCTCCAGGTCTTCACTGGCATCGTGCAGTTCCTCGTCGTGCCCCTGTGTGGCGCTGTTTTGCTCATCACCCACCGCTGTGAAATGCCTCAGAAAACGGGACATTTTTCTCGGGGGTCACATGAGTTAATAAAATTAATAATTTTTTATTTGCATTTGAATCATACATTCAATATTCAAATTATGGCGAAATTTCATCTTGAAGACAGCTTGAACCAAATGTAGATGAGACTAGTCACACTCAAGTGAATATTATTTTCTCAGGGCATTTATTAAAGTAAATGTATGTATGTTATAGACACGTGCCCTACAATCTTGTTCCATATATATATATATATATATATATATATATATATATATAATTTAACGATAACACTATAACAAGAAACATACAGTTCACTGACCAATAGCAGGCATAAGCTATTGTTTTCATATGGAACCAGCTATTAAAGATCCAATTACAGGCTTCATCACATCAAGATTTAAACATTAAAACGCGGTGTTGAACAGTATTAAACAAAACAGTTCATGAAACAGTCAAAACGGTATAATCATAAATTCTAAATAAATAACATTAAAACATAAGAGTTAACTTGTCACAACCTGATAAATAAATAAATAAATAAATCCTGGGAACAACGCATTAGTTCAAATCTTTAGTTTGTAGGCTATATCTGATTCTTGTCTGGCTTTTGTTTTATTGTGTTTGTTACTCAACAGCAATTACATAAACTTGATGATACTGAAATTATAGAAAATAATTAAGAGGCAAAAACACATGTAGGTTAATCAAATCTAACATTTGTTGTATGAAAAGACAGTTCATTATAGTCACACTATCGACACTTTAAACGGCGTAATTTCCCCATTTTTACCTTGTGTAAAAAGTCTTGCATGTCACTATCTACAGAAAAAATCCTCAACGGAGATATGTTAAAAAACAACGCCAAACAATTTATACAACAGTGCAGCAGATCTCACTACCAAATATGCCAGCATAAAGCGGGGGTTTTCTGTCTACTGTGTGACACTTGTCTACATGCTTCATAAAAAACTCACTCTTCATCTGTGACCTGAGCTTAACTTGTGATTTCCTGCAACATTTCAACATTTAAGTCAGCGAATTTACACACACTTTTACGAATATCGAACGAGTAAATGTAAGAAACTTTATTGACTTTAAGGCAATCTGGACACTTTAATTCTAATTTCACATGAATACGACAGTAACATTTACATTTTTCAGGTTATTTAGTAGATCTATTTAATGCGCGCTCAGTTTAAAAGGAACGAAAAGTTAAAATGATGCAAAAATGAGTATTTACCTGTTTTGTTGCTGAAACAATGTTGCTAACGGCTAGCGCAGCATTTGTTCGCAGTTTTTGGGTTCAATAATCCAAATTCTGTGAAAACCTTTGACTCTAAACTCCGCCTCTACTGCCGTCATGAATGTGATCCACTGCACAGGATGCAGCCGTGGAAGGGACATGGAAGATCTCTCCCAAATCCTTGGACATATTACAGGAATGTGCACGCGACCAGATAACTAGTGACCCGAAGAAGTAGGCTCATCAAACGATGTATTATTTTAACATGCATTGGGAGGTTTTAATTAAAACTGAATAGCTAAATGGAAAGGTAGTTTCAAAGTTAAAAAGTTGATAAGTCAGATGATAGATAGATAGATAGATAGATAGATAGATAGATAGATAGATAGATAGATAGATAGATAGATAGATAGGGATTGGCAAATACATTAAACAGAACAGACACTCCTGAGATCAGGTTGTCCTAAAGAATTGGCAACCAAAAATGTGTAATTTTAGGAGAAATGACGTATAGAGGCCTGCAGGACGATGACCCAAAGCACCAAATATAGAGCGAAAATGGCTTAAATCCAAAGTAACATTTGTGGTATGACGTAAAAATAGTCCACAGACATTCTTCATTTAATTTAGAGCACATCTGTGTTTGTTTCAAACCTGTATGCATTTTTTTATTCCACAGAACACAAAGAAAATGCTTTGAAAAATGTCTGTTTTTGTCCTTACATCCATACAAGGTCCATGGGATCCAACATTGTACATTTCTCATACAGGCTAAAGTGGCCCATGCTTCCCTGTTTAAGCAAGTTACCAAGTTACAACACTAACCAAATGAACCAACCAGTGTTCCCCTCTCTGAAAATGGAGATCAAGTAACATAAATTAGCCAATTCTGTGGTTGACCTTTGAAACGCTTAACAGTCAGCCTGTCAACATTAGTTTCAGCCTAGGTTTGAGTTCCCTCTGTATCTCAAGGATGGGAAAAGCTTGTGCAGCTGATTTGTACACCATAATGAGCATGTATACTTTTGTTGTTTGTTGGTGGTATATTACTGGGTGCGTGACAAAAATGTCATTCAAGTAATACTTGAACTGAAATGGCAGAAACTCCCATTACAGCAACCAGCTAACCCAAACAAGTAGACCACATAAATGTTTACAGTGTATTTTTGCTGGTTTTTAAGGCAAATATATATATATATATATATATATATATATATATATATATATATATCCTAAAACACACTTATTTCTATTTTATTTTACACCAAAAGTTATTTGAAATAAAAAGTGGTTATTAATGTTACTCAAAACACCTTAAAAGTTTATTAATGTCATGTAAAAGTTTATGGATGAAAATATTTAAGGATGTGTCACTTTTGCTGGCCAGTAGGGGGCGCTGTTTAGCTATTGGATTGAGAGAGAGAAAATGTGAATGAAAGAACTTTTCATTGCTGTTCTACACATTGTTTCCAGTTTAATCAGAGTAGCATTTACAAAACCAAAGGTCATATAAATTTTGCTGCCAACTATTTGCTTTATAAATATAGGTCTATCTACAGAGTAGTCCAAGAAAGCACTACCATCTTGATCCAAATGGGGTAAAACCCAAAATAGACCTCAACAGTATGGCATGAATAGCCTCAACTGTTCGTTAACCGGTATGAATAGGGTGCATACAGAGCAGTCCAGACACCCAAACTCGGTGAATGTGTTACTGTGAAAAAATCTGTTACTTAGTAGGCTACTTGATAGAATAAGGATGCTTAAATCATTTAGTAAATAGTGGATTAATTTAATGTAAAACCAGGAGTGGATATGGAGTGGAGTGATTACAGAACTTTCTTAAACGGATACTCCACCCAAAAATGAAATTTCTCTCATCATTTACTCACTCGTGCCCTCCCAAATGTATATGACTTTCTCTCTTCTGTGGAACACAAATGGCAATTTTTTGAAAAATATGAGCCACATTGCAAGTGGATGGGTCCGTCAAAGTTGATGCTTCAAAAACCGAACATGACGGTAACCAATACAACTCCAGCTGATGAATCAGTGTCTTCTGAAGTTAAATGATAGGTGTGTATGAGAAAAACACTAATATTTTTAACTTTTTAAGCTATATATCATCGCTTCTGGCTAGCTGTTAGCATGCTGTGAATATCAGCACATTGTGAAGTGTGACGTAACCATGTTGTGAAACTTACACAAGGAATGATGTGGAAGCTCAGAGAGCCATCACTTTTCACAACGTGCTTAAAGGGGTCATATGATGCTTTTTTAAAGATCATTATTTTGTGTATTTGGTGTAACAGAATATGTTGACATGCTTTAATATTAAAAAAACACATCATTTTTCAAATACTGTACATTATTGTAGGTCCTCTATGCCCCGCCTCTCTCAAACACATAGTTTTCTACAAAGTCCCTCCTTCCGACAAGCGCAGTCTGCTCTGATTGGCCAGCTGACCCAGTGCATTGTGATTGGCCGAACACCGCAAGCACTCGTCGGAAATGTAACGCCCCTTACCATAATCGCAAGCTTCATCTTTCAAAATAAATGTAAAGACAGTAAATAATGTCATTAGTTTTACCATCAGTTCAAGCCCAAAAGGGGAACAGAGTCGCGTGACAGACACAGTGATGAAGCTGGTATGTGTTTGCAGTACACAAGCCACGGTTAAGACAGCTGACTCCACTGTGATGTGACCCTGTGTCTCTCTCTCTCTCTCTCTTTCTCTCTCTCTCACACACACACACACACACACAC